ATTACAGATCTAAAGAAAGAACATATTTATTTTGTTAATGGGAAAAATATGCAATGGATGCAAGATGTCAAACACACAACCAAACTATCTACTTCCAAATACATATTATTTTAATGACTGGCTGTCATGTAGCCTGCAGGGTTTATGTGTATACAATAATTATAGGCTGAAAGTATCTGTGCTAATTGGCGCTCCTCCGGACATTTGACAGCTGAAGGCCTTTTATCTCGGTGATGCTTCTTAGAGACGCAAACCCCAGCCCATTACTGGAGTTTGACTGTCAGCTGTCAAAGCTGTTGAAAGGTCAAACCGGGATCGCGTTTCAAACTGAATCTGCTGAGTCATCGATAAAGTCCGAGTTACTGTCGGGATCGGTCTAAAACTGAGTGTGCAGTGAGCACATTTTGTTTTATGCAATATCTAAACAAGAGAAGAAAGATTCCCGCGGTGATGCTGCCAAGCATCAGATGGTGCTTTGGCTGGCTGAGTCTCAGCAGAGGCTGCAGGTTGGCCCGAATAAAAGCAAGCTTCACGACGCTAACAGAAATATACTTTTAGCCATTTAGGGATAACTAATGTAATGTTTTTAGGCTTTTTTCCTACTGTTTGACTTAAATTCATAGTCATCACTTTGAATTTAGCATGTCTACATAATTTTTAGACATGATGTTCCCATCTGTCTTGGTTTTGCAAGATAAACTACACTTGCACATTTCTATAATAGTTTCTCATCAGTAATGTCTTGGGACTTTGATTTGCCTTAAACTCATATGTCATCAGTTTATGTGTTTTTTTAAGGCTTATGTTTAAATTAAAAAAATAAACGCCTAGTATTTTTTTAAATCAAGGTCTTTTTATTAAATTTTTGGTGCTTTTTAAACATACAGAGCAGAAAACAAAAGAAAAGTCAGAGTCAGAGATTCTTTATTGTCGTTCGCACCACATGTGGTACATGTGGCGCAAACAAAATTATGTACACAGGGTCCCAGTTACATCCAACAATAAAAATGTAAAAGAAAAACAATGATAACATCTAAGATATGAACTAAGAAAAACATAAACTAAAAATACACTAAGCACTAATAGCATAAAAACATTACGTCGAACAGCAGCACGAACATGAGCATGAGTCTGTGTGAGCAGATGAGCACGCATGAACACACCAACATGAAACAGATCAGCAACAACATGTTCCTCAGTCTAGTGGTTCTACACTTAATGCTCCTCAACCTCCTTCCTGAGGGGAGTGAGGCAAAAAAATGTGTGTGCTGGGTGAGTATGGTCCTTCATGATGCAGGTAGCTCTTTTCCTGAATCTGGAGGTGTAGATGTCTGTGATGGTGGGGAGGCTGACTCCGACAGACTTCTGTGCAGCCGTCACCACTCTCTGCAAAGCTTTTCTTTCTGCAACTGTGTAACCTCCATGCCACACGTTGATGCTGGAGCACAGGATGCTCTCCACTGCACACCTGTAGAAGGAGGTGAGGACTCAGCTTCCCAGACCAGCCCGTCTCAGCCGCCTGAGGAAGTAGAGTCTCTGATGAGCTTTCTTGATCAGGCTGGTGGTGTTGTTGCCCCAGCTGAGGTTGTCATTTATGTGTACACCCAAGTACTTGTAGCTGGAGACCACTTCCACTGCAGATCCTCTTATGTTCACGGGAGTGTAGGTTTTTTTGTTCCTTCTGAAGTCCACAATCATCTCCTTTGTCTTCTTCACATTGATGTGAAGGTTATTCTCTTTGCACCAGCTCTCCAGGTGTTCCACCTCCTGCCTGTAGCTGGACTCATCATTGTTTGTGATGCATCCCACCACCGCTGTATCATCTGCAAACTTTACAATGTGACAGCCTGGAAGGGTAGCTGCACAATCATGCGTGAGCAGAGTGAACAGGAGGGGGCTCAACACACATCCCTGAGGAGAGCCAATGCTGAGGGTTATGGTGGAGGAGGAGAAGTTGTGGATCCTCACTGACTGTGGTCTGTTTGTTAAGAAGTCTAGGACCCAGTTGCAAATGGAGGGGCTTAGTCTGTGGGGTGGCTGTGGCTGAGTGGTTACAGTAGTCGTCCTCCAATGCGAGAGTTGGGGGTTCGAATCCACCAGCAGTCACATGTTGAAGTGTCCCTGGGCAGGACACTGAACCCCTCATAGCATCTGATGTGTGTCCCATCAGTGTATGAATGTGATCTAAAGCTCTGATTAGTCTCTTTAGAATGATTTGTTCAATTAGCTTTGTAGAGATCTAGTAGAGTGCTGTATGAATGGGTAAATGAGGCACAGATTGTAATGTAAAGTGCTTTGAGTATCTTGAAATAAGATAGAAAGGCGCTGTATAAGTACAGTCCATTTACCATTTACCATTTAGTCCTAGTGTGAATAGTTTGTCTATCAAGGTTTGAGGATCATGGTGTTGAAGGCACATGTGAAGTCCACAAAGAGCATATTAAGAGTCTTTCTGCTCCAAGTGGTTGTGCGCAGTGTGGACCACAGAGGAGATGTCATCCTCTGTTGATCGAAAGAAAGAAAAAGAAAAAAATACTCCTGCCCCTCCCCACCAGATCAACCAAAATACATAAATGTCTTTATACAAGTATCAACATATTTTCAACATGTGACACAAAAGGCTGCCCTGTATCCCAGAATACCTCCACAGAACCCATTAGAGTACATCTATTTTTTCCAAATGGATGTGATACATCACCCCTCTTATCCAATATGCTTAGGGGGTGGTCCTTCCAATTGTGCAAAATTAGCCTCCTGGCCATAAAAGAGCCAAAGACAATCACATCCCCCTGGAACCACCCCGAACAGTGAAATGAGTGGTGATGGGTGAACGGTTTTGCCACATATTCCAGAGAAGGTGTCAAAAATAGATTACCAAAAAGTCTGCAGTTTGGGACAGGTCCAGAATGTATGCAAAAGTGTAGCTGGAGTTTGATTGCAACAATTGCATGCCGGGTCCCGATCAGCCTTGATCTTGGAACGCCTAGTATTTTTTGACGGTATATTGCCTGCCGTCTTTCATGCCTGAGTTTTAGATAGAGATCTTCCTATGCTGAAAAGTTTTAGCCTTTTTGGTCAAACTGTAAAAAATAAAATAAAATACAACCATGCACAAGCACCTGCAATATTCTGAGGTCTTGCACAAACTGTTACTGAGTGTTGGTTTTGGCTTTCAGCTACGACTGCACCAAATATTAGTCTATTATGTAAGAAAAATCAATGAGTTATCACCAATTATTTTGTAAGGTCAATGAGCTGTAACAACCATCATGAACGGTTGACGAGAAAGTGTGGTAAATTATATAATTTGCTAACAGAGTTTACCTCAACTATTGTAAAACAAACCGAGTTATAGTCATTTTCCTGTTTATGCTTATCATCTCTGGTGGCCATCTTGAATTAGTTTCATACTGGTTGATGTGTTACTTTGGTAACATACAGACAAACACACAGGCAACATTATTGCCCGTATGTTGGCAGCTAGATACAACAAGAGACTGCCGGTGTTGTGGTGAAAAGTTCAATTAAAATACCTGGGTGGATGGATGTCAGCCCAACAAGCTGGAGTTTTTCTGTTATCTTGAACCTGCACTGTAATCTGTATCATCTACAGCAGAGTTTCTAAAAATGGGGTTGGCCCCACTATGGGTCGTCAAACTTCAAGAAGGGACCTTGATAAAATCTACAGAAATTAACTTCACTTTCAAATGATTGTCCATTGTGATATTTAGCTTTAAATACCTCAAAACGATAAAAACAGTGTATAAATGGATGTGAAACAATATAATGGATAGCAAGACTCTTTGATTTCAGTGTTTTTTATCACTGGGCAGCAGTCAGGGTCACCAGTCTCCAGATCGAAGGCAAAATTTGAGAAAAAAAAAAAAAACTGATCCAGAGTGTATGAAGATGGACAAGAGGTCAGGAAATAAAACTATTCTAAAAAAATAGACCTCATCATGGCCTTCAACAAGCTTTAAATTATAACAGAAGCAAAAGAATAATAAAGAAATAAGATAAATCCTACATGAATGCGTTAGGACAAGTGTTTATGTTTAATTAAGTTTATTAAACATATCACATTACATGTGGTACATGAGGTGGGACGAAATTGTGCACTCAAGGTCCCAGTTACACCCAAAAATAACTCAAATATAAAGTATTAAAAGAAATAGTATATATTATAGAAGGATCTAAGATATACTCTAAACGAACACTTAACAACAAGGTTTAAGGTATACGCTAAACACTAATAATGTAAAATAATACGGTGTATTAAACATCAGCCCGAACATGAGACATAATGTGACCTGCTGTAACAGTAAAATGTCAGTGTATTTAATCCAGCATTGCAACGTAATTGACAAAAATTAACTGTTGTACAGATAATGCAACAATGTGAAAACGAAGAACTCTCGCAAAATTCAAATCTCTGGTTGAACTTTGGTTCAATATTGAAAACTGACCAAAAAACTTTACTCAAATTGATTGTGTTCACTCAGAAAATGGTTAATTTTTTGACAAAAATGTCATTAAAATACAAGCTGAACTTTTCGAGCCCCTTCTTTCAAATACCATAGTGTCCCCATTTGAAGACCCAAAAGTAACCCAACAAAGTTAGTTTTTTTTTTTTTTAATCCATGTTCTGTTTGTATTCATGGTGATTTATTACTCTTGAACAGTTCTGGGTTGATGCACAGAGAAACTGTCTACGACACGAGTCTCCAGTGACAACACACCACGATGACTTTGCTTCATTTACGTTGAAAAAGTGGGTTCAGGGCTTAACTGGAGCTCAGTCCGGGTGGTTTTATGCAATTCGCTTGTGTAATCTTGGCCTCAATAAATCTTTTTTTTTTTTTTTTTGACAGAGTGAATGCAAGGACGGGATGTCCTTCCTCTTATTATTTCAGCCTTAAAAAAAAGCCCAGATAATCTAATTATGTTGTTTATTGAAAACATTTACTGGAAATATTACCGTGTGTTTTTCTTTTGTTCAGAGGTTTAATGCCAAGGACCCTTGAAAGCCAAATCACAATGGAGAAGACACCAAGCTACTTTGTGACCAAAGAGACTCCACATCGGATCTCTGCTATGTCCCAGGACATGAAGCTTATCGTGGTGGTGCGTGACCCCGTCACCAGAGCAATATCGGACTACACTCAGACTTTGTCCAAAACGCCCGACCTACCGAGCTTCCAGGACCTGGCCTTCGAAAATCAGAGCCTGGGTGTTGTGGACATGTCCTGGAACGCCATCCGGATCGGCCTCTACGCCCTGCACCTCGAGAACTGGCTCCGCTACTTCCCTCTGGCTCAGATCCACTTTGTCAGTGGAGAGCGCCTCATCACGGACCCGGCGGGTGAGCTGGCTCGAGTGCAGGACTTCCTCGGGTTAAAACGCATCGTCACCGACAAACACTTTTATTTCAACCGCACCAAGGGCTTCCCTTGCCTTAAGAAGCCGGAGAGCAGCAGCTCGCCTCGCTGCCTGGGCAAGTCAAAGGGCAGGACTCACGTGCAGATAGACAGAGACGCTATTGAGCAGCTGCGGGACTTCTACAGACCTCATAATGTCAAGTTCTACGAAATGGTGGGGCATGACTTCAAATGGGAGTGAGGTTTAGACATATTTTTACACAACACAGGAAATATATATGCATATAAAGAAATGGTTCACCTGCAGATGGACAACTAACAATTAGTAATCTCCAGTCTGAGCATTTCTCTTATTTAATATAACTCCAATAAACAATATTATTGCACTTGTGATCTTAATTTACCAGCATCATGTTAGTTGCTAGAAATAATTTCACTTTTAGCATCACATTTTTGGGATTGGTGTAGATTATTGCTGACTTTCATTAAAAAGAAAGAGTTTCCAGGGACTGGGATTAATTCCTTCCAAAGTCTGTGCAGTCGACTATAGGAGGAAATAATCAAGGCATGGTTTGAAAGCAAGACCTTGAAAAATGTCAGAGAAGTCTTCAGGGAGAGAAGAAGCATTAAGCTGCAGTACTATGGCTGGAAGTCCAAAATGTAAGCAGGTAGAGCCAGTACCAAGCACCATCCAATTAATCATCCAGTTTTTACAGCTTCTCACTAATCAGTTTACTGTAACATCAATGTTTGTTGAGCAAAAGCATTTATATTTTTGTTACAAAGGTATTTAATCATTGCAATATTTGTCCGTGAACCTCATTAAATGCAGCGGAAGCACAAACTTTGGTTTTTGTTTTTCATTTTGTCTCTTCTTGTTAATATTTTTTACTTTTGTTTCATATTTAGAACCACGCACCAAAAGTGAAAATAAATCCCATCGGCGAGACAGCTGAGCCTCCCAGAAAATGGTTTCTTGCTTTCTTATACATATCTTTTGCACAAGCTGTTCGGATCACTGTTCTTGGAGGATTTATTGCATTCTGTAAGGTTTGTTGCATGCGTAGGTGCTGATGATAACTGCATGAGTGGGTGTAGGTGTGAGGAATTTCAATCACTTTTCAAAGACAAAGCAAGGAGCACCGAGAAGTGGTGGGTTATCAAACGGGTTCTGGGACGCCATGTCACAGCGTTGCAGAGAAAAAGTTTGTATTTGGTGACATGTCATGAATATTAAAGCCAATCTTTCTGTGATTTCTGCAGATGTGTAGCGTTTAGTGAAACGGGAAGATGTTGGCTTGTTAGGCACAATGGACACAATTGTTCTGGAGCGTTTCCATTTTCTTTAATTTGAGTTCAGTTCTGTGCAAAAGTCACGTTTACTGATAATAATGGTACTGATAATATTTTCAGGTGGTCTCGATTCAAGCTTTCTGGAGTTCTTTCAAAGTTTTCCTCATAATTTGACTTTTTTTTTAAATATTTTTTACAAACTTTCAGTCCAGTGCTTCATTTCAGACGAATGTTCTTTCTTTGTTAAGCCATTTAATTCAGACTCATGGATCAAAATAGTATTCAAGCACCAGCAATGTGTTTCCCAACAAGCTGAAGACTCAGAAGATTATCAGCAGATTGAAGACATCGCATCGCCTTTGTTAGGTTTTTGTAGACTTTTCTTTTGATTTCATAAAGACATGGTTTTCAGATACTGTTCATTAGTTTTTCTTTGTCGTGTTTCTTCTTTTGATTTTCATTTGTCTTCTGTCATTTTTTAAGCACAAGCTGCACTATATGTTCTCACAGTCGAGCACAAGAACTGGCCTTAAAACGAGTATTAAAGCAGCCAAAGTAAAAAAAATAATAATCTTAACACTTTCAATAAACTGAAGTGTTATTGATCAAGGCAAATTTATGTTAGTCTGGCTCCTCGGCAGCAAAATATTTAAATAATTCAACTCAGTCCAGTTTATTTATATAGCACCAAGTCACAATAGAAGTTGTCTCAGGGAGTCAACAGACTGTGTTGAATCTTCACTTCATCGCAGTCTCCCATCCTGAGCAAGCACAAAGGCAACAGTGGAAAGGAAAAACTCCCTTTTAACAGGAAGAATCCTTCAGTGGAACCAGACTCGGGACGAGCAGCCAACTGCTTTGACCTGCTGAGGATTGAGAGGACAAGAAGGAGGAACAGACAAACACACGACAGGTCCAGGTGTTCTTTCTATTGGAGGGAAGACAATAACGCGTGTTAAAGACAGAAATAATTACAAATACAAATGGGTGGAGTCGAGCAAATAAAGACAACAGCAGAGTGAAGAAAATGTGGTTAATTTGTCTTACAGCAGTTTAAGCCTATAGCAGCATAACTGAGGGAAAGCTCAGGAAGCCCACGATAACTTTAACTATAGGATTTATCAAAAAGGAAAGTCTTTAATCTTAAAAGTAGACAAAGTGTCAGCCGCATGGACAGAAACTGGAAGTTGGTTCCACAAGAGAGGAGCCTGATAACTGAAAGATCTTCCTCCCGTTCTATTTTTGGAAACTCTAGAAACCACAAGTAAGCCTGCAGTCTGAGATCAAAGTGCTCTATTAGGAAAATATGGAAAAATAAGATCTGTAATAAAAGATGGAGTTAGGTTGTTGAGAGCTTTGTAGGTTAGAAGTAAGATTTTGAATTCAACTCTGAATTAAGTCTAATAACTCTGTTGAATCACCCCATTATTTCAGAACAGATTGATTATTTTTGCCATGTTTGCTAATATCTCTTTAGTGCAAATAACTTTCTGTGGGTGCTCACTAGCAGTTCTTCTGTCCCAAGCACTTGGTTTGTATATATATATATATATGTGTGTGTGTGTGTGTGTGTGTGTGTATATATATGTGTATATGTATGTATGTATGTATGTATGTATGTATGTATGTATGTATGTATGTATGTATGTATGTATGTATGTATGTATGTATGTATGTATGTATGTATGTATGTATGTATGTATGTATGTATGTATGTATGTATGTATGTATGTATGTATATTTCTTTGGGAAGACTAAGAGACAATAGTTATAATAAAATGTCATACATGTACCAAAATAAAGATACTCTAAACTGCTTATTTTTTGACAAGTTGTGAATAAGTAGCCGTACACATGATTCAATCACTGACAAGATGACTATACAAAAAAAAAAAAATAAATAAATCTTCAACAATAAGTATCCAACAATGTTCAGTCAGGTCATCTGGATGGTTGATTTTCTTGCTGAGAGACGTTTCATCCTTCATCCGAAGGACTTCTTCAATCTGAGGAGCCACAAACAAACTGTTTCCCCACAAGCAGCAAACTCCCATAGTGGACCAACCAGTTCGCTAGTGATGAGATGGTTTCTGGGGGCCGCCCTCTCCCCGTCTACTCATCCCAGGCAGCCACAGCCCGGCAGGGATTTTTTACCTGAGCGTGAACCTTGACGTTAAAAGTAGTTTATAGCATTAAAAATGTATTTTATAGTCTCCAAAACTATTGTTAGACATGTTTTAAAGCTACTCCTGTGTATTACACAGAAGGTACACAGAGGGGTAGGCTAAAGATACTGTTTCAGTTGTTTTAAGGGTCCTCCCTGTCCACACAGACTGGCCTTTTCAGTCAAACCCTGAACAGGAGGCTGCAGACAAGAAGAGGTTAATGTCTTATAGCCAAGTCAAACTGAATGCTTAAAGTCTGAGATTTTTTTTATTTATTTTTTTTACTAATAATTATCATTAAAAACACTTTCACGGTTTTCTTTCGCTGAAGCCAAGAGCTTTAATCTGTATGAATACCATCTCTTCTGAAGACTTTTTGATTTCTTGCGTCTGCCTGCGTACGCTTTGAAGATTTCCTGGTGTCTGACGTGAGATATCCAGAAAGTTAAACTCAGAGAACTTGCTCCTTTTCTTTGCTATCTTTAGACTTTAAATTCCTTTTTTTTCTCTCACCAGTCTTCTGCAGAAGTTCACAGTTGATGCATTGTTAAAAGAAAAATACAGAGGAAATAAAAAAAATCATGAAAGATGCTCTTGTGTCTGTGACCCTCTCTCAACCCAGACGTCTTGCGTTCTGTCTTCTCCGTCTCTCCTCGGAGCTTCTTTCGCTCACCTCGTCCCAGCATTCATTAAACTCACAGGACCTCCAGGTGCAGGAGTGCAGGCTGTGTGGCTGCACCACCTCCTCTGGCCTTGTCATCATCCTCGCCTGCAGCTCGTTTCTGCCCGCACAGGTGAGCTTCTATCCAGTCGTCACCGAGGGCGGCAGCCCCCCCTTCCGTACGGTACACGGGGGTCCTAATTAGGCCTGAGAGCTGGAGAAAAGCAATCCCTGAGAACAGGCACCAGTCTGATTAGACTCTGGCTGGTGGACGGCTCTCCAGAGATTGCTTGCGGGTCAAATCTCTCCTTTTCCTTTTAGTTTTCTCTCTCTCTCTCTCTCTCTCTCTCTTTTTCACACACTCCACTTCCTTTTTAAATATGAATCCCCACGGATCCAGCTCATGCAAATCCTGAAATCGTTTGCGTTTCTGAGCACTACGATGTGGCCCAAGTTAAGGAGGTGCTTGTTAACACTAATGAGTATTAGAGCATTCATGGGAACATAAAGTTAATTAATAATCTGTTGTAAAACATAACAAAAAATAATAATCCCAAACTCATTTCTGCACAAGGTTAGGCTTGTTGTGCTGAAAGTTTTAGATTTTTAATCAAAAGATTTCTCCTGCTGAGTTCAGTTCTGATCACATCGGTCTCCTGCAGCTGACTTCTTCAAACCTAAAGGAGGAGAGTGGAATACATTAGATAAGTGCATGATTGAATATGTTAGCATGAACACTTTAATGTCGACAGACATCATTCATTTTTGCTTTTTTTTTTAATGCTATCCTTAAAAACATAAGATGGTCTGAAGTGGTATTCTGTGTAAATGTTGTAGATTGTTGTTTAAGTGACCTCAAGTTTAAATCTGACCAAATCGATGTCAGCATGTAAAATGACCGTCTGCACAAAATGTGTTGCACAAGCGCTTTGTCCAAAAACGTCCAAAATGTTTTGGTATAAAAATTAAGCTCAATGATCACTGCAGATGTAATCAAATATTTTTAGCCATGCATTGCAGAACAATGTTATATTTTATTTTAAAAAACTTGTTAAGCAGTGTTTGGGGGGTCTTTCCTTTAAAATTCATGTTGTTTTAACGTACTGTTGGCACAACTAAACT